TATTTGAAAAAAATAGGTAAAACAGACCACTTTAAAATCCCCTTAAATAAATTATTGAATTAATTAAATTTATTTTATAATCTCCTGCCAATATTTCAGTATTCTATGATGCAGATCGTACCTTCCGTGCGCGATATTGCCGCGGACGTTGTCGCCGATGGTCACGTGCTTCCCAGACTGCGGTTGCGAGCTGTCGAAGTCGTTGCCGCCGTACATATGCCATATCAGCGTCATTTCGCAGAGGGTGTACTTGAGGACGGGCGCAGGGTAGTTGGGCGGGGTCTGCAGCAGGTCGGTTTTGCCAGCCGGCACGGAAAAATGATTATCCACTATCCTCAGCGGTTCTTGGCACAGCGACCGAACCTCAGGTACTCCGTAGCGCGGTATTATCCCCGCGCCGGCCTCCTCTCCCAGGATGCAAAACTCGTCGTCGTCGTCGTCGTCGTCGTCGTCGTCAACGACCGCGTTGCAGCACGGCTGCGAATTATTGCGCGTCTCCGTGGTTTGCGACGCGGCGCAGGACTCGTCGGGGAAGAAGAACTCGACACGATTCTCCGTCATCGGCGCCTTGCCGTTCTCACTTCCGGTCTGAATCGTCGTGCCCTTCACGGTTTCCTCCAGCGCGTCCTCCATCAGGCTGTAAACCCGCTCGACCTGGCTCCGGCTCAGAGTGTTGATGCTCTCGACGCTGAGAAGGGTCTCCTCGTATTTCGCAGCCGTCGCCGGCGGCGCGGTGGGAATGCTTTCGGTGCTGCTGCTGCTGCCGGCGCTGGTCGCGCCGCACGGCTGCTGCAGATCGCCGTCGTTGGCGACGTAGGTGAGCAGCTGCATGAGAGCGCGACCAGAGTCCGAGCACGTGCGCACATGAAGAACGTTGTTGCTCGCGCGGAGATCGACCCGCGGCGCGCCACCGTACATCCTGTCGTTCAGGCGCAGCGACAGCTCGAACAGGCCGAAGTTCATCACGCACACGTAATTCCGTCGCAGATTCACCGACTTCTCGCGCAGCCTGTCCGAGATGAAGAGCGCGACGTCCTCCGCGATGAAGCGCAACGTCGACGTGTTCGTCTGCGCCGTGATGTTGCTCGACACGCTGAAATTGCCGAGGGTCACCACGGATCTCAGCGGCAGATGAAGCGGCCGGTAGTCAATCGCGCAGTCCCACAGATGCAGATGCAGCTCCGTCAGCACGCCGGGCGGCGTGTAGCCGGCGACGGGATGATCCGCCACGTCCAGGCAGTCCATCATCTCTGTGAACCACGAGGTGGCGGGCGAGCACATCCGGTGCCGCAGCGTGCCGTTGTTTATGCCCATCGCGACCCGGAAGGTCTTTATACGATGCGTCTGGTGGGCCGCTTGTATCCTCAGCGCGACCGTCACCATGTCCTTGTCGCTGGGACACGACGTCACGCTGCTCTCGGATCCGCTGCGGTATATCGTCGGCTCGCAGTGCCGCGGCCGGACGCTGTTGATGCACCTCAACGGCGGCGTCTGCGACGGGCTTGTCGTCAGACCGCAGTGGTCCAGCGACGCGGTTTTAATCATGGCACAGGCATAGCTGAGGTTCGCGTTTCCCTTGTACGACGTCACGGAGAATATCGTGGCGTCCTCCAATCGGATGATCAGCTCCCCTTGCTGGCCCGGTATGACGTTGCGCATAGAATCGCGCACGGGAGTATACATCGACAGGAGGCCCTGATTGATGCTCAAAGTCACCGCCAGCTTGCTCTGAGCCTTCCTCGACGACATCCGTGTCTGCTGATGGTCCTTGTGGCTCTTTTCACTCGTCGCAAAATGGAATATACCTTCCTCGTCCGAGTCGGAGTCCGAGTTATACTGAATTCCACTTTTGCACATGCTGAATCTGTAAATCGTATGCAGAATGTCCGCTCAAAATCTTGACAACAAAATTTCTCTGCGAATGTCGTGATTTTTAAAATATCAACTTTTCAAGCAAAAAAATGAAGGATTCTTCAGATTTCTTAATATTTTCGTAGAAAAAGAATTAAGAGCCGAGATTCAAATATCGAATTCAAAAAAATACCGAAAAGAAGCGAAGACCGATCGCAAAATGGAAGCAAGATCTGGAGATTTATTTTTAACAGAAATTCTTTGAGTACCGATGACATTTTTTTCAAGTGGAAAAAAATTCTTCCCAGACATAAAATAATTTAAGATACTTGAAAGTACTCGCCTAGGATAAACGGATTCCTGCAAAAGAGTCGACGCCAAGTCGAGGCCGATGTGACCCTCCATGTGCGCGGTGTACTTCGGCTTGGGCGCCGACGGCTCCCACAGAAACAGATCGGTGTTGAATCGATTATAGAGCTGCTCGTAAATGCGTTTAGAGGGTATCTGGACGGAAGCGCAAGGTAGATTGATCTCCAGTTGCAATCTAGAGCCGTGTATCCCCTCCTCTATAAATTCCAGCATCTCTTGTCGATTGCCCGGTATGATGAGCTCCTCGCCATCGCTGTCGAAAAGTTCGCCGAATCACGAGACGTTTAATTTCGCTGAACCAAAAGCTTATCAAAGTGTAAATTCGAAAAATCGACAAGGAACCACCGACCTTTGCTCGTTCTTCTCACCGTGCTCGTGGGATCTCGAGTGAAGCGTGTCGGATTCGCGCATGATCCGTCTGGAGGTGAACGGGGAGGGCGCGTGCTTCGGCGTTTTCTCCAGGTTGTCGTCCAGGATCCGCTTGTCGTTCTCCGGCTCCTCGTCGGAGCTGTCCTCCAGCGGTGCGCTGAGACGTTCCGGATACACGATAACCACCACTCGCGCCCAACCGAGGTCGTCGCTCACCTGTTGACACGACGCGGCGTCGCTCTTCTCGTCGGCCGTGGCGAGGCCGATCTCGATCGGCACGTCGCCCTCGGTCTCCATGTAGAGCAGCGACAATCGACGACACTGCAGCTCGTGTCTGGCAAGGTAGGGAGATCGGCTGTCCATCGTCGAGTGAACTTGTGCGTCTGTCATTTGCACTATCATATAGTCGGACCGCACGGATCTCTTCCACCATGGCGCGCGACTCATGTCGTGCAGCGGCCTCAGATCCGGCACGGGAAAGCTGCGTGAAACGGAAAATATGTAAGTCCAGTTCGATACGCGCGAGATATCATTGCTTTATTATTATTTGTGTTCGATACCGCAGCTTAATCGTGCACGACGACGAGGAAATTTTCACGTTCACTCTGGAATCTGGCAGTGTTGCGCTGTCCACAGCTTGATCGAACAGAGTCTGTTGATTCTGGAAAAAGTATGTTACAATTTTTTTATATTCTATCGAAATAATATTAATTAAAATAAAAAGATTCTAGATATATCTTGGAAGATCTATTACTTACAGCATCTCTAGCATTTACTACAGGATTGCAAATGCATATTGGCTGCGGATTAAGAATAGCGGATATCCTATCTACAATCGTAATGTCTACTTCGACTCTGCAGGATTCCATTTGAATTCTGAAAAATAAGAGCAGTGTTAAAATATAATTCATGCGTAATTTATTGTAAACAATCAAAATAGATATTGTTTTAATATCAGATAATTTATAAAAAGATTTTAAGTACAAAATAAAATATTTAAGTTTTAGATAAATTCGAAAATGTTTAAAAATGGATATAATTTACTCGATCTCTGTGCGTGGATGTGTAAATTTCGTCATGTGAGCATGCCGAACAGCCTTCTCCGTATATTTAAATCTCATTCTAAAGTCGGTTTTATTAGAAAATCCAATATTGGCCGCGCTCTCCTTCGCAAATGCCAGCAGCTCGACGAACTCCGTCGTTGGCGTTCCATGCGAGCTGGCGTTGTTGGAGTCGATCAGACACTCTACAACTTCTAAACTGGCTAATGTTAAGCTTCCTGATATCGTAGAGTATTGACTAGTAGTCTTTTCGCTGCCTTCGACCACCAATGGCGCCGCTAACAATCTGCAATCAGTTGAAATTGTTATTCAACAAGTCACAATTGATTTATTATTGATACTAAACGACATGGCCATTTGTTGGCCTCGTCATAAATCTTTAACGCGCGTATTCACCTAATATGACTAAGTCGACAAGCGTCTGTGAGCGATTTCGAGGCTGCCTCGAAATCTTTACTTCCAAAGCCACCCATCGCGAACGTTCCTAATTGTCTGAAAAATTCCTTCGCAGCATTCCTCATCTGCCTTATGCTGCTGGAGGTTAGACCGAGTTGCTCCATGCAGGGCGTCAGTATATCCTCGTGCAACAAAACCAAAGCGACGGAGGACACTCTTATATGAAACTGCGTAGTCTCCGCCGTGGTATCGCTGTCCACGTTGTGCCTGTGTCGATTGTGCCTCGGCAGATTCGTCGCCGAGCTTTTCGAGCTGATGCTGCTGGCCGTGATGCTGCCGTCCATGCTGAAGTTGTTGCTGGCAATCGAATCGCACATCGACGCGGATCCCGGCAATTTCATCGGTAAGAATTCATCCTCGTTGTCGGACTCGTCCACGGATCCCGTCGACCATCCTTGAGCGTATCGTAGATCCTGTAATAACAAATAATCGTGACGATTCTACCGAATCACGTGCACGCACGTGACGAAATGTATGGAAAGAGTCGATGAACTGCTTTACCGTAGTCTTCAAATCTTGCATAGGATGCGTCTGATGGATAAGTTCACGTTCTATGCGACTGAAATCGCTCCCAGCCATAGGTTTCTCCGCGTACCTCTTCGGAACAACATTACTGATATCTTCCAAGTCCGGAGACGCTAGGCCATGCGACAATTCTAACAGAACGTGCAACTGTCTGGGACTTAAGAACAAAGTAAGCGATCCGAGATTAATTTCCAGTTCTACCTGCAATACGTAAAATTCGTTGGCTTTAAACGAAAGTAAAAATCCGGATCACAAGTAAATATCATTACTCTGGGCGCGTTGAAAAATTTGAAATCGTAAAAATTCATTAACCTTTGGTCCCGACACGCCTTCCCCTTGCTTCATCTTCAATCTCACTTCCTGTCTACCCGCTAGCTTAGCGAACATGATGGGATTTGATTCGTTCGGGCTGTTAGCGGCATTTCCTTCCAGTGGAGTGTGCAACGTGCTCTGCGTAGGAGACATTTGTGCGGAGGTAAACAGACTGTCCGAATTCTGGTTGCCGATAAATGAAAAAAAGAAAAAAAAAAGTTAAATTCTGAAAAACTTCTGTCACAGCATCAGCAATATCCTTGTCTGTACTCACTTTAGAGTCGGGAGTGGAGCACGTGCTTGCCACCACGTTCCTGGAAAACGTTCTCGCGCGAGAGGGAAATTCGTCCGTGTGAAAAGTCACTCCCTCCATGTAAAATCGCTTGGTGGAGAATGCCGAAACGATGTAACCCTTCGCGGATTCGGGATCCAGAGACGTATTGCTGGGATCTAATCCAGCCTCGTCGGAGTACTCCAGATTCTGTATCGACACTTCGACCGCAACTCCCGTGGAAGAGTTCAAAGGTACGTGTTCCAAGCGTATCACAGTATCGATAAATCTTACTTTGACTCTACATAAAACTGAAATGTGCAGACAATGCAGAGTTACAAGCGCAGAAATTTAGATTATGAAAATACAATATCAAGTCATACCGTATTTTCTTTGTGTACTTTTCGTACTTTGTATCACGTATTTTTCTATGAATAAATTCGATAAAGATCTTTACATATATTTCCCTATAAATTTCGACGAAACAAAATTGATTGCCCGGATTTCCTTCGTTCTCGACTTTCTTTTCATCGTTTCACTAATTTTCCGAAATTTTGTATTAAGAAAAGATTCTGGCAAAGATCTTCGAAATAACACATTGTACACAAAAAATATTTTACTCGAATCTATAGTCCGCGCGAAGATCTCGACCGCCTCCAAGGGCTGAGCGTTTCCCGCGTTGGCTGCGTCCTGCTGCAAACACTCTTGTGCGAGTTGCATGCTGGACGTCATGGAGCTCCACATGGATTCAAACATCGATGTACCCGTATCAACTCTCTGCCGGGGCTGCACCGTGAGCCGTAGACCCTTCACCTCCACGTAACTCGCTTGACAGAGCAACGCCGCCCATGGTATGCTGAGGGATATCTCCGTTATGAAACCATCGACGAATTCCAGCGGGAGATGTTGTTGCTCTCCCATGTCGTTGAGCGCCTGCAAATAGAGAATTCATTGTAAGCAATATTTCGTTATATTCTTTAAAAAAAAAAAAAATATGGAACTGCACATGTGTAATTCAGTTGAAACATGTGTATTAAAAAGGTGGATTAATGAATAATGATTATTGGACAAATGAAAGAAAAATCAGTACACCTCAACCTGTCGATTAAGGGAACAGTTGCATTAAGAATTGTCGAGTGAAGTACAGTTTGTATAAATTAACATACATTAACCCCTTAATGCTGATGAGTGGAACAATGACTGCGCTATAATGCTGACATGTTTATTACTTTATATGCATAAACTGCAACCAACTGCGTTCACAAATTGATTATTATCATATATTTAATAAGTAAAATGAATCTTGCTATGTAGAACGTAAAATTTATGCAATTAATTAAATTATTATGTGTAAACTGTTCTTTTACAACATAATACAAATTCTATCGCATGGAACTCTGGCGTTTCGGCTCTTTAAGCTCTCTGTCGTATCTAATTAATTAAATGTTTATTTGTTATAATGACCTATTGACTATAAGTTATGTGTCAATTGTTTTCTACATTCTTAATTATCATTCTATATTATAAATGTCTATGCTTGTCTATATTGTCATCTACTCAAAGTACACACGTGTAAAAAAACTGTTTTGTTTATCATATCATTGAACATATAATCTTCGTCAGGCCTTTACATATTAAGCTATTTGATGATTGGGTTGTTTTCCAGCTAATGACACAAGTGTCGTAATGTCTTTGTTCGATATCCAATGAGCAATAGACAGAATATTTTGCGCCAGTTTGTTAGCCATCATAAAATCAACGAAGCAATACGCAGTATTACTGCCTCACACTTCCGATTTAGGGTTTCCGCTTTGAATTTATTAACAAGCCGCGTATATTTTAATCAACAATTGTAATGCGCGAATATCGAGGTCGCTTCATTCAAAAATATCTCATCGCAAATGTTAGTTAATTAACGACAGTCACTGCAAATACGAAGATTAGTCAAACGATAAAAACTCATTTAAGAAATCAAGCTCTTTCGCATTGCTTACGAGATCAAAATACAGATTATTCTAAAAAAACTATTTAAATAAAAAAAAGTTTTTTTACTCTCCAACTTCCCTTCGTACGCGCATAACACGCGTGTTGCGCGCAATTTACCGAGCGAGTGCGCGGCGCAATCTTATCTTCATAGTTTAGCTGAGGAAGGAATGTGGGGAAACAAAGAAAAGCATGCTTGATACCTGCACGTCAAGGCTGACGTTGACGACTCGTCCCGTGCCATTGTACAGATCGACGGTCAGTTGATCCAGCGTGAGCTCCTCGAGAAATTGGCCGAGGTAGCGTTGGAGCAGGTACCTGCAGGCCCGCTTCTTGATATCCGTCGACCAGGTCAGCCAGGCCATTTTACTCGCACGTGTCGCAACACCGTTCTAATCCCGAGAAATCTCCGGCGTGTCGTGTCCGCAGCGGAGGAGGTTCATCATCTCGTCGCGCCAGGCACGTTGCCGTCGCCAGGCATCACCTCACCAGCGCGAGCGTGTGTTTAATAGTCTGGCGGATGACTGAGCGATGCGAATCGCATTTCCTTAACACGCGCGCCGTCCGTCCCCGCGACGCTCGACATAACACGCGGTCTGTCGCGCGGCAAGTCCTCGCAGCCGCCAATTCGAACGTTTTTCGGCCGATGTTTTCGTCGAGGACGATGGCGATGTGATGCGCTGCGCTGCACACAGTACACGCGTGAGCGTCAGTCGCGTGGCGTCCCCACCTCGTTCGGAGTCGACTGATACGGGGAGACAAAAAAAAAACTCTGCCCCGACTCCGGCGGCCCCCGATTCTGGCTCTCCCCCGTCCGAGCGATGCAAACGAATGAGCGGGCACGGCGCTGTCGCCGTTTTTCGTTCAGTTCACGGTGCGATCCGGCAACCTCAGAAAAAAAGTTTCGGACGGAGAACCTCGGATAATATTTCTGAATAGACGGGAGTGCGGCCTTCCCGTCTCTTTAATCGCAATATGCACGCCGATCAGCTGATGAATGACAGTCGCGCAGCTGTGTTCATGCAGCAATCGCGAATTGTGAATTTTCTCACGCATGTGCAATGCATGAGCTCCAGAAGCGACGTAATTTCCTCACTTTTGCAATTTATTACATTGGATGCACTGCGCACTGCGCCGTGAACGCTCTATTTTAGCTGAAATTTGACGAAATTATTAACAGAAACACATGAAAGAGAGAAAGAGAGAGAAAGACGATTAGGAGCTCGTGCGAGAGTAGTGACATCTTAGGTCGGTTGTGGCAACATGACAAAACCACTGATAGTAAGTGCTCTCGTACAGTTTTTTTAAAATCACGGCCAAAATGGAGCGTTTCTGGCCGTTCCAGCGAATAATCTGAATTTTTCTACATGCTTATTTTCGCTTCTGAACTACTTTTGACAGTGTTGGAATGCTCGTAAAATACTTAAACAATTGAAATGTTTGAAAAGTGTTTTGTTACAAATTTAAAATGCATATTGTTAAGAGAATTAAAAAACGACATCTTTTTTAGGACGTCTCAAAGATGTCCTTTTAAAGACGTTTTTAGGATGTTCTAAGGTCTTATTTAGGACGAAGCTAGTCGAAGCGCAAAACTTGCGCATGGTGCGATATCCCTCTCTCTCATGCTGCTTGTTGCTTGCTCTCAGATCTGACGTCACTGCCGTGAACAAGACTCGATATTCTGCGATCACGTCCACCGACAGTTTATTTTGACAGACACAAGTGCGCCGAACAGGTTCGACGGAACTGTCAAATGAAAGGAATGAAGTCCACGTCCAAACCGGCTAATGGCGATTAATAATTTTATCGGTGCATTCGAAACGTGAGATACTTCCGTTTTGTACATAATATCGATCTAAAATATGGCACTGACAAATATCTTGCTGCTGAGTCAAATAGCGGGCTACGTAGTGGCCCTTATTTTGTCGCTCTGCATCATTGTGCCTATGAGCCTGCATCAGGATGAGTTTAGGTAAGATTCAAAGCGTGACGCATCCTCTGCGTCAAAGATCGATATACCAATCGTCAAACCGGTATGATTTCGATCTCTTTTCTCCCGCAGCGGACACTGTCTCTTGTTCTCCACCGGGGTCTGGCAGGAATCGGACGGCCAGTTTGTCGTGAATTGGGCGTCGCAGGCTTACTGCAACTACACGATATTCGTGGGCTTGATATTGCTTGTGACGTCGGCGATACAAATCTATCGACTGTCCTTGCTCATGTATCGCGGCGACGACAGCTCGTTTCTCTCCGCGTTCGTCGATGTCGTCGCGTCGATTATTTTCACCGTCGTCACCCTGATCGCGGCGATTATCGTCACGCTGGGCTTTATGACCTGGTGCCAATGTATGACAAAAAGATTCCCGTCGTGCGAACTTGCGGCTGGGAATGACATCGACAAGGCCGACGGCATCGATACGTCTGGCTTTCACATCGAACTCGGCGCCGCACAATTCGGCATCTGGAGCAGTTTATCGATCTGGGTTGGCCTGTCAGTTTTTGCTGTCTTGAAGGTGTTGCGGTACCATCAGCTGGAGAACATGAAGGTCTCCATGTATAGAGAAAGACAGAGATTGATAGAAGCCACTACGAGCGGTCAGCAGCAGGAACCGAGCTAAAACTTGGTACACATTTAAAATTTTACTTTGCCAAAGGTAAACCTTGATAATAACATCATTCATTGATTTATAAGAACAAATAATCATGTCCACCGTATCTCCGAGAACAATGTAACAATTGCATTACATACGCAATATTTTTAATTAATCTTGAAGCGCACACAGAATTCTGCGAGTCAAGTAATACATTGATATACACATAATAAGTAATCTATAATAATCGATTTTATAAGAAGGATAGCAGTTTAATGTTTCTTTTTATTGAACAATTTGAAACACATGTACAGTCTTTGTTCAGAATTTGTCAACTTATCACAAAAATTACATTTCTCACATATAATTGAAGCTAAATTCTTTAACAGTTGCGTCTTCGTTTAATCGATTTTCTAACTTTAGACGTATCGTAAGACTTGTATATATAAAAATCATATTAATAATAATGTATATATCACAGTATATAAGTATTTCCATGGATAATACATTATATAACGAAAGCGAACAAATAGTCATAGGAATATAAGAAGTCGTGGAAGTTAGTAACTGCTTTTTTGCATATATATTTTTCCGATTCCACTACATACGTGCGATACATGACGTATGTCGACTACATCAGATTGTGGATTTTAAATATACAGTGAGAGACACTTGTTAATAAGCCTACATTGTTATTTGATATTATTTAAGTGCGGCTATTACGAATTGCGATTACATATAAATTATACTGCAACAATATATTGAAGTATTCGATGCAGCCTGACGAGCCCGTGATTAACCCTGAAAAATTTAACACATGTAAGATCACGATGTATGCGAAATCACGTAAATGTCAAATGTTAAAGCTTACTTTATTCGAAACAGAAGTCTACTTATAATTCTATGCGGAAAGAAATTATTTGAAGTATCAGGATACACACATGCAAAATACTGATCATATTTTGCGTCATGTGTGTATTTTTGAAATCTTTTCTGTATTACATGGCAAATAAAATTCTGTCGCATAAAGCAAGCTTGAATGAGCTAACGAACTTCGGTCTCGCATTAACGTTACATTACGTTCCACTGTGAGAAAGCTCTCTGTCCGTCAGGCACACCGCATCCTGACCGTCACTTACTCTTACTTGTTTGCATATTCCTTGCGTGCTCCTGCGACTGCCCGGCGGGCACTTGGACGACGGCCTTTTCGGAGGATTGATTATCATAAAGGGCGCAATGTCCGCCGACACGCATTCCAATTGAAAGTTTGTCTCATTCACGCCTATCACCCCGTCGGGCGCGCACGGGCCGCCGATCGTTCGGAGAGCGTAACACGTGCCGTTGAACGGCACCACGCCGTTCGCATCGCCGCAAGGATTCACCGCGCAATGCGGCACCGACTCGTCCTCGGGCAGAACGACGTAATTCCCAGGCGGACAGGGGCCCTGCATGTACGCCTCGTGGCAGGAGTCGTTCAACGGGAAGTACAGGAATCGCGGTCTGCAGTCGCATACCCAGTTGCTCTTCGAACCGTCGCCCGGGTAGAGCAGCATATTTTTCGGACAGTCGTTCGTCAGCACCGGTAAACGGTCCGTTATCACCTGCGGGAGAAACGAACGTATGAAAGGCTTCCCTCGTCGGTCTTGCATTAACGTTACGTTACCGTAGAATTGCCGCCGCTGACGTGAGAAGTCTCTTCGTCCGTCGGGAACACCACATCCTGACCCCGTATTAAACAGTTACACGTGAAAAACACAACACCGACGAGCAAGCACCTCATTCTCGCGATCGGATGTGCAAGTACTTGAAAGCGACTTGAACGAAGAAAACCGGAGAGCAGTCCTGTAATATGAAATCTCGATATTGCGAACAAAGGTCAAGTGGAAATAGAACGCAATTGTGCATAAATATTGATGACGATACGTGGACAGATAGCGATCATAAAAATGCTAATTCTTTTCAATCTCTCCCGGACGCTTTCCAACGGCGGACTAAAAAATGAGAGAGCCGTCAGCGTGATGTATTCGATTGAGGACACTCATTATATATTCTATTACAAGTTACAACTGAACACTCGTCGGCGATATAATTATTTATGCACTAACAACTGCATTCCGTATTGAATTCGCACTCCTCCGCACACGGAGATTTAATATCGACAAATATTTTCCTTACAGTTTCTCCGGCGACGGCGCTTCGCGATAAAAAAAAAAAAAAAAAAAAAACAAGACATACAGAGATATCCGCGCGTGTATTGGTGATTATGATGGATGCGAGAGATGAACTTGAGAGAGCGCGCCTTCTAAGATTCGCTCGCGCGTACGTTCAATTATAACGAAAGCCAATGTGACTACAGAGCCCTCAAGGCCAACCAGTGTAAAAAGGAAATGTAAGAGTACCGACCAGAACGATAATCCTCTTCACTAATACACCGACGCGATCCTCGCGCATGTATCGTGTATGTGCAATTTGTAAGGAAGCCGCTTACGCATGGACACGAAGAGGAAGAGGAGCTGGTCGGAATTCCAGGAACATACATTCGCGGAAATTGCAATTGTTTAAATCTCTCGCGTTAAGACGATGACCAATGTTCAAATGTAACTTGTTTTTTTTTTTCAAATATCTCTTGCGACGTGAACGCTGTGTAAAAATCGTTTCGTTACAAATCAAGTACGGAATATTCGAATATTGAGAAATTAGCTTTCATTATTATATCGTATATTTACAAGTGTATTTACAAAATCACTCTTTCAGCTTCAAGTTTTCGAGCTCTAATAATTGCAATTCGTTCGTTTTTAAAGAATCCATCATAAAAGCTAGAAAATAATTGTTTTCATATTCCGGCCAGGATTTAAATTCTATGAAGAGTTCCATGATTTGCGCCGGCGTCAAATCTTTGAATTGCGTGAATATCGTATAGTCCTTGGCTATCAGTCTGATTCCACAACCTGGCACCCACTTTCTAAAAACAGGATGATACATTATTGTAAAGAGTTTTATATGTATATTTAAGATTCTTTATGACACTCTATACTCACTCTAGTTCCGGTATCACTTTGTTAGTGCGCCTCCGTAAATGATGTCTCGCGAAATACCAAAATATTAACCAATCTTTTTCCGACAGTTGCGAATAAAAATCAATCTTCGGTTCGATTCTTGCCACATAAATTTGCGCGTAATCTAATTTCGCCCTTTCAATAGCTGACTTTGTTGTAAATTTCTTTTGTCTCGGCCAAGGTAAGAAGGACTTCCTGTCCAAAGTTCCCAGGAGTTCAGCATCAAACATCAATTTGAACAACACTCTCCTATAATTGTACCTGTGACTGTCGCTTGTATTGTAGACAAATTTCTAAAAGCCAAATATCAATACAAATTATCAAGCATACAGAATGTTTCTAAAATAAAAATTGCACAGTGAAAACATTCCTAAAGTTTGTCTCCTTATTTTAAAAATATTCCAATCAAGATTATAAAAAAAAAAAATAGAAAAGATACTAACATTCCACAGAGATGGAGGCACTGCGAGGTAAAAGACAGGTCTTCCGCGGGACATGAAGCAACTGCGGAAAAGTAAACTTTTCAGAAGATGATTGAAAAACTCTGTACTAGACGTCGCAGTAATTATCTGCATGGAAGTTTCATCCTCCCATTTTTTATTTTTTACTTCCTTCAAGATTTCTTGCACCCGATTGCCGCCGATAACTCTATCCATATAATAGAGTTTGGTGATCTTCAAGATATTAAAATCTTTAATGTTTAATCTACCAGGATATGCGTTGCTGATGTCGTCCAGTACTGAGTATGAAACTTTATTTGGCGCGTACACATGAATCAACGGTACACCAGCTTTCAACAGTTCTGCAGTTAGCACACCGAAGCCAGAATTTAATTCTGCGACGAAGGATGTATTCTTCGAGAGATCATTTATAATAAAAGAGACATATCTTCTAGCTGCCTCTCTGTCAATCAAATATAATGTATTTTTATATCGTTCGAGCATTAGCGACTGTTTTAAATCAGGACTAATTTCATCTGGAACACTAACATTTTCTACATGATTAATGGCTTCAAGCTTCTCCTCGTCATCCAGTATAGAGATACTTTTTTTCCATTTGGCCTTTTTCTTGACTTCTTTTATATTAATATTAATGTTCTCAGTCCCTTTGGAGTGCACATAATGTGAACTATCAGTAACTAATGTTGAGGAATATACAACATTCACAATATGCTTATTTCCTCTTGACAACCAGGAAGTTATCACAGGAAGAAAACTTCTGCGTATCATTTTACATCCAATCTATACAAAACAAAGCTACTGATAATGCACAACAATCTTAGATAACAGTATCGAAAACAAAAGTATTATAAAGAATAATTATAAAGAAAAGAAGCATCCAAAAAGAGCATAATAAAGGCAAAATTAATGAGAAAGTACTTTCCTTCACAATTACTTAATATTATTAGTTGCTATTGCATTGTTGCTTTTAAAACATACAATCATAAATGTTCTTCATTGAAATTTGATTGTCTTTTTTTAATCAATCGATCGATTTTCTTAAAATTTACCCAAAATGTTAAAAAACACATTACAAAATAAATATGTGAAAAAAATGTATTTTTAATATAACAAAAGATTTAATAATTATAAAATTAAAGGAACGACACTATTTTTTAAATGACTTGATATCTGTGTATTTTAAACACTGCTTACCTTTTTTTAAATTACTTAATATCGGCTATATTTACGTTCTTCTTACACGTGTGTTGGTTAGTTTCATTTTTATGCTATAAAACATGTTATTCAGAGAAGAATGTTTCTTTCCGACAGAAAAAAATTATCCTGTCAATCAGCGAACAGCAATATTCGTAAAATTATTTAAAATCACATATATTTCAATTGATCCAAACAAATTCGTAAAATATGATATTGGTCGTCACCACTAGTCGTCACTCATAACCTAACCTAACCTAACTATACCTAACTTAACCAATGTGTGTGTGTGGTGTGTGTATATAGATTTTAGAGTAATCATTGTTTCCTGATTGTCATAACGTTATGGTTGAAAATCATTGTAAGTAATTAGAAAAACACGCAATCATAAAATTTGCAGTAATTTACATATTATTCTTTTTGTATAATCATTGAATTATTCATTTATGTTGATTATGCACATTGATTATGCACATTGGGTTGGGTAGTAAAATTGAAGAGAAGATATTTTAGCAAAAAGAAAGTATAATCCACTTAATATCATAAATATGTATATAATTTTTTGTTATTTAAATCATTAACTTCACTAATACTTCATAAATTGATATTTTCAATAACTAATTTTATTTCTATAACAAATAGATTAATTTATCTAAAAACTATAGGATACTCTCTAAGCTTTTAAGATGTAATATATATCTTAGAGAGATAACGATATGTCCTAATTTTCAGAAACGGGGACAGCTTATCAATGATATTACATCATTATCAGTATTATTTATAGAAGGAAAACAATCACTCATAAAATGGCTCAAAGTGCTGCCTTATTAACACGCATAGTGGCATCATCTGTGTGTGCCACAGTGCAAGCTGGCAAGGTAATCCGAGATGTGTTGAATAAAGGTGGATTGAACATTGTGGAGAAAGGCAAGAATGATCTGCAAACGGAGGCGGATCGCTGTGCTCAACGATGCATTATCACTTCACTCAGTCGTCAGTTTCCAAATATCACGATTATTGGCGAGGAGGAACCATCCAGCTGTGAAGTACCATCCGAATGGATTGTCACAGAAGCCGATCAAGAAGTGTTGCAACTAAAACTGCCGGCTCATCTGGAGGACATTAATCCCAAGGATGTTTGCGTTTGGGTGGATCCTTTGGATGGTACTGATTACTTTTGCTGGAATGCTTTATTCTCAATTTAATCATTTATAATCCAGTATTTCTCACATCTGTCTTTCTAAGTTTCTCTAATTAACAGTTTGCATTAGAGTTCAACAAACTTTAATTAAAAAGATTTGAAGAAATAGTTAAACTAAATATTTAAAGACATATTAAATTCTAAAGAAATATTCAACAAGCATGATAAACGGAATATTCTATATTTCGTTTTGTGTCCATTTATTTGCGAAGGAAAAGTATTCATTATTTACGAAAGACTGCATTGCAGGTACTGCGGAATATACGCAAGGACTAGTGGAGCACGTCACAGTACTGGTTGGCGTGGCAGTCGGCAGAACGGCGGTCGGAGGCGTGATACATCAGCCCTATTACAAAAACGACGAAAGTGACGCGTTTGTTGAAAACGGACGTACATTATGGGGCATCGACGGCGCGGGATACGGCGGGTTTATGCCAAAATCACCGCCAGATGGGAAGAGAATAGTCACGACCACTCGTTCGCATTCTGACGGCATTGTCCAAACTGCCATAAAGTCATTGAATCCTGACGAAGTGGCGCGTGTCGGCGGCGCTGGACACAAGGTGATAGCAGAAGCAATTATGTAATTGCCGATTACAATCTTCAAATTATTGGTACCATTTTTGGTAACTGAAATCGTTAATGTCTTATGCTTTTAGCTATGCATTTCTAGCTGTTTGAATTTCAAATTCAACTGAAATCCAAAGCGAAAATTCTAAGTCCAAAGGCATCAATGACGCTTTTTATATCTATTTGTTTATGTATCTACATTGCATTTACGTTTATATCGATATTTATTCCCAGGTAATTCTCTTGTTGGAGGGAAAAGCGCACGCATATGTGTTCGCCAGCCGCGGATGCAAGAGATGGGACACGTGCGCACCCGAAGCCGTTCTCCACACGATCGGCGGCGTCCTGACTGATCTTCACGGCGAACGCTATCCCTATCATCCGGAGACGACGCTCGCGAATACCAGAGGTGTGCTAGCCACTGCACCCGGCCAATCGCATCAATGGTATTTGAGTCGCATACCTGACGAAGTGAAGCAAACGTTGCAATAGGTAAACGGGTGGTCCCAAGTCGTTCATATCGACTACTTTTTCATATTATTTTTAATTATTTATATAAATAAAAAAAGAGGACATTTCAATGTCCTCACACTCTTCGTGCGAACGGTGTTGGTGATACACCTTTTCTCCTGTCAAATATTGTATAATAATAACCCTTTAAACGAGACTTGAACATTCCGCAGCAATTTCACATTCTTTCTATACTCCGATTTAATCTGTAAATATAAAAAGAGTACAAAGATGGTTACTTTTTTCCGAAACAATGTAATATATGCAGCATGGGGTACAATAAATTTTAAGTAAATACTTAGTTTAATTATTTACTTTGCTGTGTTTTCTGTAAAAAATATGTCAAAAAATCTTCTCACGAAAGCTCGACGATGATTAAATATAATATTTCAATTTATTTGTATAAGTGTGAAAATACAGTGTATTCCATATTTATTTACATATTTATTTTGTATTTTTTCTAGAAGTATGTGAAGAAAAAAAAGAATTAATTTTTTTTCTATCGATTTCCACAATGCTATGATACTACTACTGTCAATATTCGGAAAAAGGGTCCATTTCCTCAATTGTAAAAACCTGAAAACCATAACAAACGTTTTAAGAAACAATCAATAATTATCACACATTATATTTCATAACATTGTTTATTCGAATACACGATCGCGTATAATTTGTCTATTATTACCGAAAATTATTTATTCTTAATAAAATATGAATGGATCTGTTCATAAAATAATAAATTACTCTTTTAGGTCTAAAATTACAAATTTGCAACGTTTCAATAATTTTTTATGTAATATGTAAAAATAATAAATAAGGATAATTTTCTTATCTAATTAAAAGTAACTAGTAGAATTAAAACAAACAGATGACTAAACTGAATTAATATTTTACGCAAAACTCACCAGTAACCCGATGCTGTTGATGGACGCGATTGTAACCGAGTCCGTCACGCTGAACGTGGACCCAATAATGAACAGTATCGCCTCTTCTCAATTGAGTATGGTTGTCCTGATAAGTCCATCGTCCGTTGCGAGCTCTGAGAATATCTTTCGCAATATGTCCTGCTTCGAGGCCCCCATCAAATTCCTCGTTGATGTTCACGTGAAAGGCCACTAGATGAATTCCTGGCTCATCTACGTCAACATTATTCTAATTAGAACGAGTAATATTGCAATTTTAATTCCTAAGAGCAGTTAGCTTTTTTTCTAAATCTTATTTTATCTCCTGTGCATGACATGCCGGGATCAAAGGTCTTATTAAAATATTTAAAAAAGGTTGTTCATTAATTTCAAATAACATGATGCATTCTTTCAATATATTACACTCTTAAGCATTTATAAATGATAAAATTAATAAATAAATAAGTTGCAATAACAAAATATTAATAAATGAGATTTAAGAAGTCACATATTCTTTTGGATCACCGTGATAAATCATTGTCGATCACATGTGCATATGTAACTGCATTCTTTTATATATTACATGAAAAAATAAGATCACTAATCTGTTACATAACACTTCCATTAAATTATTTATTAGATAATCAAATGTTGTATATGTAGTCAGCATATAGCTTAATAATAAATATCGTATCTCACCAGGAATAGATATGCGCAGTCCCGCAGGATAAAGCGGCTCGACCATAGCCGGCGGAGGAACGTAAGCTTCATATTCATGAATATTCGAGAGGAAAATCGCGAGAAAAATCGCCGAGCACAAAGAATATTTTGCCATCCTCTTCACGTCGTTCCTGGATTAAATCTTTTTAACCTTCTTCTCTTCTTCTGCCGGCTTGCATCAACTTTTTGATTTTCGTTCCTCGCTTTCTTTCTGATGTTTTTGTTGAACGCACAATCTCCAAAGATCGAGCGATTCTCTTGATAGCGGAACGAGTAGAGATTAATCCACAATAGCGGATTTGGTATGTTGTTAAATGCGCGGCCGGTGGTCGTACATTGACTCGCTGTTTCTCACAGAAACGCCTTTTATTCTCCCTTCTACTTTATTAATTTAATAAAAAACCGAATAATTGCTAAGTCAGTACACTATGATTATAAATTTTTATTTTTTCGTTTGTTTATTCGCGTCACGTAATTCCCGATGACGACCCTCGCATCTGCCAATAATACTACTAGTTTCCTTAATTATATAAGAAGTTATAATATTTTTTATAGCGTCATTCAAGTCGAAAAATCAAAGCACATTATCGTCGTACCATTTTCGCTTAATATTTCGTAAAAATCTCATTAATAATTTTAAATTATTTATTTTTTCAATCGTCATACATGGAGAAACAGACGCTTTTAATTTTTTAGTTACACTAATAAAATTTTCAACAGAAACATTGAACAAAGAAAACGTTTCTTTTCTTATTTTGTTATATGATTTGGAACACTCAATCATGCCGTCAGGCAGATATGAGAGGCGAGCATACTTTTGTATCGCAAATTTCATTTTTTTTATGTATGGCGTACGACGAGTATAAGTTGCTAAAGTCGAACTCCAGTCTTTGGTAAGACTTCTATTTGCGACTCACCTTCGATTTTCATGTTTTTTTAAAGGCATATTGTACGTACTAAATGTAGTCGAAATCCAAAGTGCTAACTTGCAGAAATGACTAAACTGCTCTTGTTAATTATTTCAGAAAGTATACATTGTACGGAAAAAGTTGTCAAACAAAAAATGAAGCCCATAAAAAGCTCTATAAATAAGGTCTTATACATATTTTATTTAACTCCAATATTTTAGTCGTTATTATCAAAAAACTTGTAAAAGCCCCCGTAGAAGGGGTAGGAACCCATTGTATCCTTGTTTTGCGTGAAAAGTGTATGGGTGGAGGCAGTGTGTTCCGCCCTCCTGCGAGGGGCTGCACCATCGAAAAACTATACACATAGGATCTGAATTGAATCTCGCTTTGCATAGAAAGTCGTAAACCTATGTGGAATCTTGCTTTGCGTTGTATAGTGTATGCGGTTAATCCAAGGGTTTGGATAATCATTTATTGCGGAACACGTTGCAATCTGGTGGGAGTTTCACTACCGATATTATGATCACATGCAGAAACTGCGTTATTCCCAGATATACGTCATGCACAGGATGAGTTTATCTGAAGCTGCGAAAAATGTCGATTATCTTTCTGCATAAACGAAATAATCACACTTCGCGTGAAGTTGCAAACCTACGTGAAATTCTATAATTATAAACCTCGTCTTGCATCTGAAGTCTTGCACCGGGTGATGTAAGGTGGACCTCGCTTCGCGTAAAAAGTTGTAAATTTATGTGGAATTGTACGAATAGTTAAACTACATTCACTGACTCACTCAGCTATTCAGAAATTATTATTGGCAGATGCGCTTTCGAGGGTCGTCGTCGGGGTAAATTAAATGACGCGAATAAACCAACGAAAAAAATAAATATTTATAATCATAATGTACTGACTTAGCAATTAGTCGGTTTTTATTAAACTAGTAAAGTAGAAGGGAGAATAAAAGGCGTTTCTGTGAGAAACAGCGAATCAATGTACCACTGGCCGCGCATTTAACAACATAACAAATCCGCTATTGTGAATTAATCTTTACTCGTTCCGCTATCAAGAGAACCGCTCAATTTTTGGAGATTGTGCGTTCAACAAAAACAACCAAAAGAAAGCGAAAAACGAAAATCAAAAAGTTAATGTAAGCCGGCAGAAGAAGAGAGAAAGGTTAGAAAGATTTAATCCAGAAACGACGCGAAGAGGATGGCAAAATATTTTTTATCCTCGTCGATTTTTCTCGCGATTTTCCTCTCGAATATTCACGAATACGGAGCTTACGTTCCTCCGCCGGCTTCGGTTCAGCCGTATCATCCTGCGGGACTGCGCATGTCTATTCCTGGTGAGATACGATATTTATTATTAAGCTATATGCTGACTACATATACAACATTTCATTATCTAACAAATAATTTAATGGAAGTGTTATGTAACAGATTAATGATCTTATTTTTTCATGTAATATATAAAAGAATGCAGTTATATATGCAAATGTGATTGACAATGATTTATTACGGTGATCCAAAAGAATAATATGTGACTTCTTAAATCTCATTTATTAATATTTTGTTATTGCAACTTATTTATTTATTAATTTTATCATTTATAAATGCTTAAGAGTGTAATATATTGAAAGAATGCATCATGTTATTTGAAACTGATGAACAACCTTTTTTAAAAACCTTTTAATAAGACCTTTGATCCCGGCATGTCATGCACAGTAGATAAAATAAGATTTAGCAAAAAAAGTTTATCAACTGCTCTTAGGAATTAAAATTGCAATATTACTAGGTCTAATCAGAATAATATTGACGTAGATGAGCCAGGAATCAATTTAGTGGCCTTTCACGTGAACGTCAATAGGAGATTTAACGGCCTCGAAGCGGGACAAATTGCAAAAGACATTCTCACAGCTCGTAACGGAGAATGGACTTATCAGGACAGTCATACCCAAGTGAAAAGAGGCGATATTATTTATTATTGGATCCACGTTCAGCGTCACGGACTTGGTTACAATCTCGTCGATCAAATGCATCGTGTTACTAGTGAGTTTTGCGTTAAATATTAATTCAGTTTAGTCATCTGTTTGTTTTAATTCTACTAGTCACTTTTAATTAGATAAGAAAATTATCCTTATTTATTATTTTTACATATTACATAAAAAATTATTAAAACGTTGCAAATTTGTAATTTTAGACCTAAAAGAGTAATTTATTATTTTATGAACAGATTCATTCATATTTTATTAAGAATAAATAATTTTCGTTAATAATAGACAAATTATACGCGATCGTGTATTCGAATACACACAATTTTGAAATATAATGTTTGATAATTATTGATTGTTTCTTAAAACGTTTATTATGGTTTTCAGATCTTTACTATTGAGGTAATGGTCCCTTTTTCCGAATATTGACAGTAGTAGTACTGGCAATAGTATCGTAGCATTGTGGGAATCGATAGAAAGAAAAGACTGTGAACTATAGAAATGTTTTTTATCTTCACATTCTTCTAGAAAAAATATAAAATAAATATGGAAATAAATATGGAATACACTGTATTTTCACACTTATGCAAATAAATTGAAATAATATATTCTAATATTTGGTAAAAATGTCCTTAATAATTTTAAATCATTAATTTTTTTAATCGTCATACATGGAGAAACAGACGCTTTTAATTTTTTAGTTACACTAATAAAATTTTCAACAGAGACATTGAACAAAGAAAACGTTTCTTTTTTTATTTTGTTATATGATTCGGAACACTCAATCATGCCGTCAGGCAGATATGAAAAGTGAGCATACTTTTGTATCGCAAATTTTATTTTTTTTTGCATATGACGTACGACGAGTATAAGTTGCTAAAGTCGAACTCCAGTCTTTGGTAAGACTTCCGTTTGCGATTCACCTCCGATTTTGATAAAGTTTTACAGGCATATTGTATGTACTAAATGTAGTCGAAATCCAAAGTGCTAACTTGCGAAAACGACTAAACCGTTTTTGTTAATTATTTCAGAAAGTATTTATTGTACGGAAAAAGTTGTCAAACAAAAAATGAAGCTCATAAAAAGCTCTACAAATAAGGTCCTATACATATTTTATCTAACTCCAATATTTTAGTCGTTATTATCAAAAAACTTGTAAAAACCCTCGAAGGGAGGGCGGAACCCTCTGCATCCTTGCTTCGCGTGGAAAGTGTATGCGTGGAGGCAGTTCCACCTCCTGCGAGGGGCTCCATCATCGAAAAACTATACACATAGGGTCTGAATTGAATCTCGCTTTGCGTAGAAAGTCGTGAACCTATGTATGTAAAACCTTGCTTCGCGTTGTAAAGTGTATGCGGTTAATCCAAGGGTTTGGACAATCACGCTTCGCGTGAAGTTGCAAACCCACGTGAAATCGTATAATTATAAACCTTGTTTTGCATCTGAAGCACCGGGTGATGTGAGGTGGACCTCGCTTCGCGTCAAAAGTTGTAAATTTATGTGGAATTGTATGAATAGTTAAACTACATTCACTGACTCACTCAGCTATTTAGAAATTATTATTGGCAGATGCGCTTTCGAGGATCGTCGTCGGGGTGAATTAAACTACGCGAGTAAACAAACAAAAAAATAAATATTTATAATCATAGTGTATTGACTTAGCAACCAGCCGGTTTCCTACTAAACTAGTAAAGTAGAAGGGAGAATAAAAGGCGCTTCTGTGAGAAGCAGCGAATCAGTGTACGACCACCGGTCGCGCATCTAACAACACAACAAATCCGGTATTGCGGATTAATCTCTACTCGTTTCGCTATCAAGAGAACCGGTCGACCTTCGAAGACTGTGCGTTCGTCGAAAACCCCAGAAAGAAAGCGAGGAACGATAATCAAAAAGTTGATGCAGGCAGAAGAAGATAAAAAGGTTAAAAAAATTTAATCCAGGAGCGACGCGAAGAGGATGGCAAAATATTCATTGTCCTCGTCGATTTTTCTTACGATTTTCTTCTTGAATATTCACGAATACGGAGCTTACGTTCCTCCGACAGCTACGGTCGAGCCGCTTCATCCTGTGGGACTGCGCATATTTATTCCTGGTGAGATACGATATTTATTATTAAGCTATATGCTGGCTACATATACAATATTTGATTTTTCAATAAATCATTTAATGGAAGTGTTATGTAACAAATTAATGATTTTTTCATGTAATATATAAAAGAACGCAGTTACATATGCAAATGTGATCGACAATGATTTATCACGGTGATTCATTAGAATAATATGTGACTCCTTAAATCCTATTTATTAATATTTTGTTACTGCAACTTATTTATTTATTAATTTTATCATTCATAAATGCTTAAGAGTGCAATATATTGAAAGAATGCATCATGTTATTTGAAACTGATCAACAACTTTTTCTGAATGTTTTAATAAGACCTTGATCACGGCACGTCATGCACATTTTTTAAAATAAGATTTAGCAAAAGTTTATCAACTGCTCTTAGGAATTAAAATTGCAATATTGCTCGTTTTAATCGGAATAATATTGACGTAGATGAGCAAGGAATCACGCTAGTGGCTTTTCACGTGAAGTTCAACGAGGATTTTGATGGCCTCGAAGCGGGACATATTGCGAAAGATATTCTCAAGGTTCGCAACGGGCGATGGACTTATCAGGACAAGCACACCCAATTGAGGAGAGACGATATTATTTATTACTGGGTCCACGTTGTATATAACGGACTCGGTTACAATCTCGTCGATCAGTTGCATCGGGTTATTGGTGAGTTTGCGTAAAGTATTAATTCAAATTAGTCATCTGTTTTTTTTAACTCTATTAGTCACTTTTATTCAGATAATTGAATTATCCTTATTTATCATTTTTGCATATTACATAAAAAAATATCGGAACGTTGCAAATTTGTAATTCTAGACTTAAATAGTGATTTATTATGAACAGATCCATTCATATTATATTAAGAATAAATAACTTTCGACAATAATAAACAAATTATACGCAATCGTGTATTCGAAAAAACAATGTTTTGAAATATAATATGTGGTAATTGTTGATTGTTTCTTAAAATGTATACTTTGGTTTTCAGATTTTTACAATTACGACGGCACTCGATACATTTCCAACACGGTTGAAAGCCAGCAGAACTGTACGTCAACATCGGTCACATGGATTTATAAAGATAACGTACGACAGCAAACCTGTCCGCGTCAATTGATCTTTGAAGATAATTTTGACAATCTTGAGAACTGGAATTTGGAGCAACGTTTCGCCGGTCCGCCGGTGCGTATTGTCATCAAGTTGTTAAGCAAACAAGAATAACCGGTTCTCATAACTAATTAGAAAGTTATATTAGGTTTTTTTATCGCTAGGACTCAGAATTTGTTGTCTACATGACTAAGGATGCAACTGATACAAGCGACGGTCGTCTGAGCATCAGACCCATCGTGATTGATGACAAATTCGGCGTGGGATTTGCGTCACGCGGAAGTTTAATCTTGGACAAGTAAGCGGAGGATAACTAGAACTAAATTCTTTAAGAATTCGGAAATTAGAATTAATTTTTAAGGTAATTTAAGCGTTAACATATTATTTAATACGTTTTTCTAGTTGCACAGGCGAGATCGGTACGGAAGAGTGCCAACGCCAAGCCGCTGGCTCGTACATCTTGCCGCCTGTGATTTCGGGACGCATTAACACAAAGGAAAAATTCGAATTTCTCTTCGGCCGCGTCGAGATCAGAGCCAAGTTGCCGCATGGCGATTGGGTGTATCCTGGTGAGCGCACGCAGTAATTTTTCACCATTTCGATTCCGTTTGTATGAATTATCGGAAATTTCCGCTTTGCAGTGATAATTCTGGAGAGCTCCGAGAACACATGGGCACTCGGGATGCACCGTGAAATTAGGATCGCGTCGTCGGTGGGCAACGAGGAGCTGACAACATCCGACGGTGACATCATCAGCGGCCGCATTCTGTCCGCGGGCGGATTATTCGTTCCTACAAACGAGAACGACGCGCAGAGCGTTAATCGCCAGGCGCTCTCCAAGAGACGGTCAAGCACACCCTGGTCCAACGACTATCACGTGTTCGAAGTTGAATGGAAGAGCGGCCTCATTACGGTAAAGGTCGACAAAGTGGAATACGGCGAACAGATTGTGGACGGATCGTTCGGAAAACCGGTTAGTGTACTGCGATTTTTATCACTCAAAAAAATGATCGTGCAATAATAGCTAAAATTTTCTAGGTGTAAAAAATTAACTAAAACAGATAAATGATTAGCAACTGTTGTGATATTGCATATGTAATTACTTAATCAGTTTAGATGACAGAAACAGAATATATGTCTGTATTGTTTGTGAACTTTAAAAAGAAAGTTTCTCTAAAGCGCCTATCTATATAAGATCAATCACGTGTTAGATTATGCAATGAATAACATTTAGCAATAATACCTAAATTTTTCAGAAGCTATTGCTAGAACATTACTGCTATAAATTCTATATGTGACAAACAATGTTTTCACAGATACGAAAAATAGCGATACATTCTTGTTGCGATATCTAGAAATCTAACTACATCAGCGAAATATTTTTTTGAGTGATTAATTGCTTTTCTTCGCTGAAAAAGTTTGTGTTAATAATACCGTTTATCCCGCAGTCGTACTTGTCTCTGGGCGTAGCTGTGGGAGGCACTCACGAATTTGCAGATCATGCCGTAAGCAACGACTACGTCAAACCATGGCGAAATGTCGAGGCAAAAGTGCGTCATTTAATATTCAGCATTTTACGATCCGGATTACGCGTTATTGCTACACGGAAAAAAAAGTAGTGTCAAATCAAAGCTTATATACTCAAATTAACGCGTTCATTGTTTCGTATATACGCAACAATTTATAATCTGCCGAAAAGAATTTAATAATCTTAAATTTTAACAATACTATAGTCTTGTGTGTGTGTGTGTGTTTCCATTTTATAATGATCACTTGAAGAATACAATAATTAATTTTACTCTAAGAAAATTATAATCTTTTATTTGAAAAATATGTTATTTTCTATTCAACATTTTTTCTTTTCCATTCAAGAAAATTATTCTTAAATAATAAGAATATTTTTTTCTTGGTTGAACTATATAAAGTGACTTCATTCAAGCCAGTTTTCTTCGTTTAAAGCAATATAATCTCATTTCAAGATTTTCACGTTAAAAATAAAGATATTTTAAAAATAAGAATATCTTTTTTTTCCGTGTAAGTTTGCCAGAGACTTCGGAAGATATATACGATTTTAACGCATTAAATTGAACTTTGCAGGCAATGTATCACTTCAACCGTAAAAAGGATAAGTGGTATCCAACGTGGAACACAAGAACGGCGCTTTTAGTGGATTACGTGAAAGTGTGGGCGTTATAAATACTCTCCATCTCCGCAAAACAGTATATCCATACATTACTACGTATATTTTTACAATCTCTCGAATTTAAGTCTACGCATATTTCTCCCGGCAAACAGTATCGCTTATCCAACAGTTTAATCATTCATATATACAATAAATAATAACGTGGATGCATTATTCGCACCTAAAGATTCTGGTTTTCACGAGATATCTTACTGACACAAGCTTAGTGTGTAGATCATATCCGAGTGCACTTGCGCGTTATCGCGGATCAAAAGTGATCATTGCGCTATTCTCTGAAAGAAGATGAAAATGGCGTCAAGAAGACGCTGGGTGCAGGTCTATGCAACCGAACGTCTGGACCGAGACCCAACTGCTCGATCAGCTCACCGCGATATTCAAAGCACATAAATTTTAAGTAAAGATACTTAGTTTAATTATATACTTTACTTCTGTTTTGATGTCCGCCAAATGACGCTATAAAAAATATTATAATGCGGATAATTTTTTATGTAATGAAGAAATCTAATAGTATTATCGACAGATGCGCTTTTAAGAGTTGTCTTCGTCGGGACGAATTAAACGATACGAAACAATAAATATTCATAATCATAATTTATTGACTTAGCGACTAACTGATTTTTTGCTAAATTAGTAAAGTAAAAGAAAGAGTAAAAGGCGCTTCTGTGAGGAACACTGGATCAGTGTACGACTACTGGTCGCGTATCAAGCAACAACAAATCCGGTATTCCCGATTATTCTCTCATCCCGCTGTCAATAAGACCGGTCGTCCTTCGGAAATTGTGTCAGAAAACGCCAGAAAGAAAGCGAGGAACGAAAATCAAAAAGTTGATGCAAGCCGGTAGAAGAAGATAGAAAGATTAAAAGATGTAATCCAGGAACGACATGAAGAGGATGGCAAAGTATTCTTTGTCCTCGTCGATTTTCTTCACGATATTCCTCGCGAATATCCATGAATATTACGGAGATTATATGCCGCCATCGGCTATGGTCGAGCTGCTTCATCCTGCGGGACTACGCATATCTATTCCTGGTGAGATAAGATCTTTATTATTAAGCTATACATTGACTGCATGCGACATTTGATATCTAATAAATACTTTAATCGAAATATTCTATAACAAATTAATAATCTTATTTTTTTGTAATATATTAAAAAAAAAACGCGCATATGCAGATGTAATCGACAATGATTTATCACAGTGATTCATAAGAATAATATGTGACTTCTTAAATCTCGTTTATTAATATTTTATTATTGCAGCTTATTTATTTATTAATTTTATCATTTACAAATAACTAAGAATGTAATTGAAAGAATGTATCTTGTTACTTGAAATTGATGAATAATTGCTTTTATAGGAATTGCCAATTCGCTGCAATTAAAATTGCAATATTGCTCATTTTAATCAGAATAATATTAATGCAGCAAGATCACGCTAGTGGCCTTTCACGTAAAGTTTAATAACGAGGATTTTGATGACCGCGAAGTGGGACAAATTGTGAAGTACATTTTCAAGGTCCGCAATGGACGATGGACTTACCAGGACAGGCACACCCAACTGAGAAGAGACGATATTTATTATTGGATCCATATTGTGTATCAAGGACGCGATTATAATCTCATTGATCAGTGGTATCAGGTTACTGGTGAGTTTTACGTAAAATGTGAATTCGAATAGCAATCCATCTCTTTTGAGAGTAATCGATCTGTCTACTATTTCATTAATTTCTAGTAAGCAGATAATTAATTGATCCTTATTTATTATTTTTACATAAAAACTCATCAAAATATTGCGAATTTGTAATTCTAAACCGAAAGGAGTAATTTATTACTTTATGAACAATTCTATGTCTACTTTATTAAGAATAAATCACTTTCAGCAATAATAGACAAATTATACGCGCTCGTATATTCGAAAAAACAATTTTTTGAAATATATAATAATATGTGATAATTGTTGATTGTTTCTTAAAACGTTTGTTATGGTTTTCAGATTTTTACAATGACGATGGCACTCGATACATTTTCGACACACTTTAGGATTTGGATGACAGTATAGACATTTCCGATGAGCAGCACTGCACGACAACATCACATGGATTTGTAAAGATGACGTACGACAGAAGGCCTGTCCGCATCAAATGCTCTTCGAGGATAATTTTGACAATCTCGAGAATTGGAATTCAATGCAACGTATCGCCGGTCCGCCGGTGTGTATTATCGAAGTGATTATTAAGTAAGCAAGAATAACCGGTTTTCTTAAGTAATATAGAAAGTTCTATTAGCCTATTTTTATCGTTAAGATTCTAAATGTTGTTATTTACTTGACCAATGATGTAACTGATATAAGCGAGGGTTGTCTGCGCATTAAGCCGATCGTGATTGATAACAAATTCGGCGCGGGCTTTGTGTCACGCGGAAATTTAATTTTGTAAAAGTAAGCAGATGATAATTAGAACTAAATCTTTAAGAATTCGGAAATTAGAATTAGTTTTCAAGGTAATTTAAGCGCTAATATGCTATTTAATACGTTTTTCTAGTTGCACAGGCGAGATCGGTAGAGTGCCAACGCCAAGCCGCTGGCTCGTACATCTTGCCGCCTGTGATTTCGGGACGCGTTAACACAAAGGGAAAATTCGAATTTCTCTTCGGCCGCGTCGAGATCAGAGCCAAGTTGCAGCATGGCGATTGAGTGTATCCTGGTGAGCGCACGCAGTAATTTTCATCATTTCGATTCCGTTTGTATGAATTATCGGAAATTTCCGCTTTGCAGTGATAATTCTGAAGAGCTCCGAGAACACATGGGCACTCGGGATGCACCGTGAAATTAGAATCGCGTCGTCGGTGGGCAACGAGGAGCTGACAACATCCGACGGTGACATCATCAGCGGCCGCATTCTGTCCGCGGGCGGATTATTCGTTCCTAGAAATGTGAGCGACGCGCAGGGCGCTAATCGTCAGGCGCTCTCAGAGAGACGGTCAAGCACACCCTGGTCCAACGACTATCACGTGTTCGAAGTTGAATGGAAGAGCGGCCTCATTACGGTAAAGGTCGACAAAGTGGAATACGGCGAACAGATTGTGGACGGATCGTTCGGAAAACCGGTTAGTGTACTGTGTAATTTTATTATTTCTTTTTCTTCGCTGAAAGTTCGTGTTAATAATAAGCACTATTTATTCTGCAGTCATGCTTGACTCTGGGTTGTGGGAGGCAGTCACGAATTTGCAGATCATGTTATAAGCAACGGCTACGTCAAACCATGGCGAAATGTCGAGGCAAAAGTGCGTTATTTGATTTTTAACATTTTACGATTCAGACTACGCGGTATTGCTAAGTTTGCTTTGGCAGATACACACGATTAACGCGTTAAATTGAACTTTACAGGCAATATACCACTTCAACCGTGAAAAGGATAAGTGGTGTGCAACAATAGAACGGCACTTTTGGTGGATTACGAAAGTGTGGGCACTGTAAATACTCTTCAATCTGCGCAAACAGTGTATTCGCACGTAACTACGTATATTTTTATAATCTCAAATATTGTTCCATTTCTCTCAGTAAACAATAACCAATAGTTAAATCATCCAACAGTTTAATCATTAATATATACAATAAATAATAACGTGGACGAATTGTTCGTACCTGAAGATTCTGACTTTCACGAGATATCTTATTAACACAAGCTTAGTGTGTAGTCGCACTGATCGTATCCGAGCGCGCTTGCGTCTTGTCGCGGAAGTCAAAGGTGATCGCTCTACCATCCTCTGAACGGGGATGAAGGCGGCGTCAAGAAGACACTGGGTGCTGGTGTACGCAGCCGGACGTTGGGACCGAGACCGTTTCCCAGCTGCTCGATCAACCGCTCACCGCGATATCCGAAGCGCCGTTGATACGCTCCCGCGGCGCGCGGCCCGTCTTCGGGTGCGAACTCGATGCTCATCGGTTCCCCGTCATTCAAAGAGGACGTGAAACGTAGAAGACTCGTAATACCGCTCTTCGTCCATTCCGAGATCTGAGATCCTCTGGACCAGAGTTTTGGGAAGATCGAGATTGGATTCCTGAACAATGCTTGCGGCCATGCGAAGATCGACGATGAGTCGATTGTTCTGGCGTTTCGCGTCAGTGTTTCATCGTCGCACCGTGCGCACGTCTGCTCGTCATATAAATCTTTGTTATTACTCCCAGACAATTTAATTAATACAATTAAGATTAAGCTTTCAACGTGGCGAGTCTATTTTTTGCACAATTAATTTTGTATTCGTTTTTGAGAAAAGGAGATTGGATTGTTTCACCAATTGATAAATATTTGTAAAATCACGTTTCGTATTTATGCAATGCTGTTGTAAACAATTCGAGAAACAGTGTATGTTAACGCGTACCGAAGGCGAGATTCGGAAGTTAACTATATTAGCGTATCCGTAGATCCGCACATTAACGCGAAATACACAAAAGTAAAAGTATAACCGCCCATTATGCGATGAAATTGAAGATCTGCAAGTGAGTGAAAGTCCTCGTAGCGCAATTTGTATTGCGCATTCGAGATCTATTAATCCGTATCACTTACCGCGCAAAAGATGATCGTTAAAAGCACTGCAATGCGCATGGTTTATTAAGCTCACTGCGAAATCACCCACCGGAAAGACCGGAAGGCCGAGCCGGCTTTAACTTTTATGCCCCTCCTCCATTTCCATGCCCCGCGAAAAATTCGTGATCCGAATGTGACATTTCGCGATCGATACGATGGACAATCAATTGTCATTCACGGGACGAGCCGTTCGAGCACGATTTTTCGAACTTTCGCGCGTTGTCGAGTTCGCGCAATCGGGGTTTTTTACTTTCACTGCCGATTGCAACAGTGAGCAATCTCCGTGAACAGTCTCACGTATAAGCGAGTGGATTTGTAGATAAGCGTCATACAGGGTAGTCATACCGCATGGAACATCATCATCCCTGCCCGCGGAGCCGAGGATCGCCATGAAGCGGAATGAGATATTGGTGAGTTTACTGAATGAAAAATGCAAAGAGTCAAATTAATCTCGAGTAACGAAGGCTTTAACATCTTAATAATAAA